CCCCCCCACGGAGCCAGCAGAGAGACCGGCCCAACCCCAGGAGAAGACCCAGGCGTCCTGACTCCCCCGAGAGAACCCAGGCGTCCTGGCAGCCATACCGATGTCCAGCGTCCAGAGGTCGCCGAGGCGGCAGCCGCTCATGCCCCCGTAGATGACGAGCTTGGATTTCTTGTTGTCCCTCTCGGTGTACACCACGGCAGTGTGGGACTCGCGGGGTGGGGGCAGCACCCCGTACGTGATGGGGATGTCCCAGGCCACCACGCCGGAGCCCGGGCGCAGCTCCAGGATGTACAGGTCATTCAGGTACCTGCGGGGGGACGCGGGCTCATCGGGGGGGGGGGCACAAGTCCCCCCATCCCCAGGGATCCAGGACAGAGCGGTGACCTGCACTTCCACATCTCACAGCTAGGGGGCAGCCTCTCCCCACAGCCCAGCACAGAACCCAGGAGTCCTGGCTGGAGGTGGGCACTCTAACCCACCTGACACCTCCCCACCCCCACCCCCGAGCTGGGAGAGAACCCAGGCATCCTAGCGATCGCTCACCTGGGAATGTTGTTCTTGGGGTCCTCGCTGTCGTTTGCCAGCCCCCCAAACAGGTAGCACTTGTTGCCCACAAGCGAGAAGCTGTGGCCCAGGCGGGGGCAGGGGGGCGGCCCGTTCTTGGGGGTCTTGGCCTTGAGTCTCTTCCACTCCCAGCGGCTGGCCTACAAGGGGGGGTCCCAGCGACGGGGGAGGGGGGTGTCATTGCAATGCAGCCCCACTGCCCCCCACTCCTGCACACCCCACCCAGCCCTCGCTCCCCTCCCAGAGCTGGGAGAGAACCCAGGCATCCGGGCTCCCAGCCCACCCTGCTCTACCCCACCAGCCCCTGCTCCCCTCCCAGAGCCGGAGAGAGAACCCCGGAGTCCTGGCTCCCAGCCCCCCCGCTCTAACCACCAGCCCCCACTCCCCTCCCAGAGCCAGGAGAGAACCCAGGAGTCCTGGCTCCCACCCCCACTGCTCTACCCCACCAGCCCTCACTCCCCTTCCAGAGCCGGGGAGAGAACCCCGGCGTCCTGGCTCCCAGTTCCCCCATGACAGACCCCCAGCGTCCGGGCCCTACCTGCAACTCGTACAGGTCGCTGCTGTACTTGCCGTACTCCACCATGCCCCCAAAGACCAGCAGCCGGGTGCCGTCGCACACGAAGCCGTAGGCGGCGCAGCCGGGAGGGATGTCGCCCCGCACAGCCGGGATGAACCACTGGTTGGTGGCTGAAGGGGGGAAGTGGGGCATGAGTGGCGGCAGCAGGGCTGGACGGAAAGTCCAGCCTGCAAGTTGCCCCCGTCGACCAAGGTTGCCCTCTTCCCCCTCCACAGCCCCCCCGTGAGCAGCCCCACAAGTTGCAGAACAAATACCTCCACCTGAACCCAGGCGTTCGGGAATGGGGGCAGGGCAGAGCTCCGAGCAGGGAGGGTCGAACCCATGCGTCCGGGAATGGGGGCAGGGCAGAGCTCCGAGCATGGAGGGTCGAACCCAGGCGTCCGGGAATGGGGGGGGGGCGCAGAGCTCCGAGCAGGGAGGGG